GAATCCACGAAATGCTGTGAAATGTAGGCAAAATTACGCGAGTCCTCCTTTACATTTGGAGAAATCGGCAACGCGGGCCGGTGCCGTCAGACTTAATGGTAATGGAGCTGCTCGGAGTGGCAACGGCTTGGTTTCCAACGCAAAGCGTCCCACGTAGGGAGAAACGACACCGGACGCAGGAAGCGCCGGTCACGGACCGTGGCCTCTCTCCCGTCGACCTGGCGGATATGTCTCGACTAGACGAGAGAGAAAGAGGAGAGAGCCACGTGTAATTCATCGTATAAACGCGGTCGTCGCGATGTAACCAGGTCGCTCGTCGACTCGTTATGGGTCGCTTGAAACGTGAGGGATCTAGCTTCTCTCGCAATCTCTAAGCTAAATAAACCATCGTAGCACCACGCTGTATCGCAATGATGGCTGAAGGAAATTAAGAAAATAAATCTGGATGTATATAATTTAAATTTTACGGAATGTTTGCAGTAAGATTTAAATCAGACATCAAAATTAAGTTGGTTAAATCGTTAAGTCATGAAGGAATAGTATTAAATCTAGAGCGAAGATGACATTTTTAATAAAAATATATTTAATCTTTCACTGGCAACATAAACTCTTCTGTCAACAATCAGGGTCTTCGAGAAATAGAGCAAATTTTTTATTGTTTTGGATTATATAAAAATCTGAAAAAATTCTAGTCAAAGTTTTAACGAGTTTTTACCATCATAGAAGTCGGATTATATTTTACTTATTTTTTATGGATTTAAATTCATCTGCCAAAATTCATAATTAAAATATTGTTGTTGCCTTTAAAGACCCCAAATATGAAAAAGGGTTGATATACATAAAGATGAACAACTTAAATAGAAGACTTTGTAAAATTTGGGAGATGGTGAAGGAGTAAAGGTGAGTTATAGTGCTCAAATGTTGAAAATAAAATAAAATTTGACGTTCCAGATCCTTTTTTGCACGCTCAACACGCACAAAGTGGACATGACGGAGCTATTAGGCGGGCAAATCGGTGTGGGCGACTTCATATTCGCACATAAGAAAGGTTACTGTTATACTTTCCTGCAATTAGAAAGCATAGGTTGCATGAAGCAGATAAAAAGTAATTAATGCATTTTCGGTGCAGGCCAACCGAAAGAAATCGAGTTGGTGAAAACGGATGACGCTTTGGGCCTGACGATCACTGATAACGGTGCCGGCTACGCTTTCATAAAACGTATAAAGGAGGGTTCTGTGATCGACAGGATAAAGGTGATCGAAGTGGGCGATCATCTCGAGAGGATTGACTCGACCAGCCTTGTCGGCAGGCGGCATTTTGAGGTGGCGAAGATGCTGAAAGATATACCGAAGGGTTCGACGTTCACACTCAGGCTGGTGGAGCCGCAAAAGAACGGCTTTGGTAGCATCGGACCGCGTGGTGATCTCAAAAAAGGAAAAAAGCCTGGCTATGGATCCGGCAAGGAGACTTTGAGATTCAAGGCTGACGGTAGCGCACAACTCGTAGAGCAGGTGTGTAAAATAGAAACGATGTCAGATTCAAGTGGTGAACTCGTGAGATAAATAAATAGTTTTATCGGGAGTGACGTTTCTCTGATAATATTAATCCTCAAAAATGATGAGTAAAACAAGTGCTAGTTTCCTATGTTATGAGATGTTTGAATTATCTAGATATCACACACACACTTTGAGATTATATATTTATTTATATTATTATATATATATATATATATTTCGATATACCGCTTTTCATCCCAGTTGAATGGACAGTTGCGCACATTGAGCGATAATTAAAGTAAATATTTTCATAGATTGATGATGCCGCTGCGATAGGCGTCGAGAAGATTAACACTATCTTGGAAAGCTTCATGGGCATTTCCGATACAGAGTTAGGTAAGTTCAACTCAAGGAACACACCAAGTCAAGAGAAAATCAAAATGACTTTAACGTCATGAAAATTAAAATGATGATTTTGGGTTAGAAAATTTGACTGTTTATTGAGAATTAAAATAAAGTCATTTTAATTTTTTGTTGACTTTTATGCCTTCCTAAGGAATATATAAATATTAGCATACAGATAATCGTGTGTGTGTAACAATATAAATACGAGAATTCCAATTAGCACGGCGGCAACAAGACTTTTCTAGTTTTATTGATGAATTTTTTAGTCTCTTTCTTTTTTATTTTAAGATTGATATTCGATTGTTATCTGATTTATTACAGCGACACAAATCTGGGAACTTGCCGAGGGTAAATGCAACAGTATAGACTTCGCCGAAGCGATAGACAACTCCGACTTGGAGGACTTCGGTTTTACTGACGATTTTGTGATCGAATTGTGGGGCGCTGTGACGGATGCCAGAGCGGGCCGGCATCGATGACGTGAGGATCAGCGATGTAATGACAATCCCAAATGTCGAATGATAAAGCGATGAAATTATCTGTGAACGAAGTGTTTTTCTGATTGAAGAAGATGACGTTCGTTCATTCTCGTGTTACCGTAATCCAGAGGCCTACACGTGGACGCGCGTTTAGTGTTAATCGTGATTACATTTCTCTCTGAACATTTTTATTTAAAAAATCGCTGCGTTCAGCAGAAAAAGCAGCTTTTGTAAAATTTTTTAATATGATTGATTTATACATTTAAATCCAGTGAGAAACTAATACAAAAATTAAAGAATTAATTTTACAACAGTTGTAAAGCTGCTTTTTCTGCTGAACGCAATCAACGAATAATTTGATTTACGAATGTTCCTCAAATGCGAATCGAGCTATTGGCGTATTCGATCCTAGATACGTGGCGAAGATGTAGGCTAAAATCTATAATATACTCCGAATAATCGTATCATACACTGTGTCATATGGCAAGAGCGTAACAACTCAAATTGGAAATAAAGGTAATCCTTTACAGATTGCGCAGAAAATTAATGACAATATTTTTTATATTATTCTAAAGATATTGTCTTAAAGAATTATATTAAAAAAGTATTTATTATTGTAAATTCTTTCTCTTCTTTTGTATTAAAGCACCGATCTTAATTTCCTTGTAATAACGAAACAATTCTGTTCGTTCAAATCGATATCGATGTCCCTATAAAAAAAAACGCGGAAAATATCTGTTAGTGACTACTATAATATTAATTATTCGAACGATAGCGTAAACATGCTGATTGACATTATCAAACGACGTCATTGCGTTGGTATCGCGCGATATCAACAATATTATTCTAACATGAGCCGTATTAGTATTCATTAGTATCAACCCAGGCAACAGGCGTGTCTAGAAGACATCTCGAAGATGTCTTTAGTTTGATAAAGAATGTTTGAAAATCAAGGATGTAAAACTTGTTTTTCCAATTATTTCATAAGAAGTCTCTCAAGAATTGTAGAACATCTTGATATCTTATAAGATATTTTAATGTTCCCTGAGAAGCATTCGGATGTTATAGTGATAAGAATGGATTAATATATATTTTAATACATATTTAAGTTCACGCGATGTGATCATAAGAGTGCGAGAAATTATTATATTCATTTTCGAGAAATAAAATCTTTATAATAAAGGCATGATCTTCATTGATTTCACATGTCGAATAAATATTTATTATGAAACCAAACGACGTCTTGATGGCTATTTATAGAATGTATATCGCCATTGTAAAAATGTTGATGCTCGCTATCTAAGCTGACGAAGGTATCTGGAGAAATCAGTTTTTTGTTAAAACACGTATAAGAAACAGACTCTATAATAAAGGCATGATCTTCATTGATTTCACATGTCGAATAAATATTTATTATGAAACCAAACGTCTTGATGGCTATTTATAGAATGTATATCGCCATTGTAAATGTTGATGCTCGCTATCTAAGCTATAATGAAGGTATCTTGGAGAAATCAGTTTTTTGTTAAAACACGTATAAGAAACAGACCCAAGTAAAACACAGAAATGAGGATATCATTATGACCTCATTCGTCACTTATAAGTCAATTTTTAGGTATCAAATGACGTCATGATGACGTTCTATGATATAATTATGACTTCGCGTTCTACCTGAGGACCTCTCTAATTCTCTTTAGCATTATTACGCAAGAATTTCAACAATTTATTAAAAACATGTAATATTGTATTTTATAAATTCTTATACATATTAAATATAACATATGATTAAATATATTATGTAACATAATATATGATAAATAAGAGCACCTTTTGGAGTTATTTTCATGTTGCAAATGCTGATCCACGATATTTTTTTGTGTATCTTTATACAATAAATTAATTAATTGTCGTCCATTGCAGATAAAATAATTCTTGAAAAGTCGTGTGGAGATCTTATATTAAGAAATGCAAGTAAAAAAAATAAGATATATGTATTTGTTGTGCTATCAAATCGTTCCTCTTTTACATCAATATCTAATATCTGCATAATCGTTTGAAAGCTGATGTCCTCGCTACAAAACGGCGTAGACACGATAAACACGTTTTCTATCAGTGTCGTATTTCACGATAAGGCCTGTGTTAGAACAATTCCGTGCCCTAAAAAAGAAAAAGAATGAGAAGAACATGGCTAATTATAATTATTAATAAAAAACAATTTGATAGATAAAAATAATTAACTTATATTGTTTAAAAAATAATATTTTATACTTAATATTGTTTACAATAATGCCAATAATAACACTAGTAATTTGTGAAATAATGCCAATAATAACACTAGTAATTTGTGAAATTTTATTTTTGAAATTCTAAGTATAATTATGTAATTTAAATTAAATACTAATGCACGCTAACATCAGCTGTTATAAGTGCGTTCTAATATGAGCTTTAAACTCGAAATCTCCTCCTCTTAAAACTGTTTCTTGAACTTTCTTTGTACCTCTTCCTTATACTCTGATTTCCGACCCAATCATGTGAGTCGTAGTACCAATTTCTTGAGCTTTAATACAGATTAATACGTTCCTGATCGCATACTTTTAAATTGAAATGTCGACGCGCGCTCCATTCTGTCCAGTCACCGTTCGTATCTCCGTGCGTGAGTGTTGGTGAGAGGTTAGGTTTCGCAGGTTTCCGCGGCGCGAAGTTCCTTAACAATTGTTGCGAGTTGCGAGACAGTATTTCGGTACGTCGAGACTGATTACAACGAAAAAACGGAGGATACACAATCAAGACAAATAAGATATTCATTCCGGGAAGAATTGATGAAGTAATATCAGAGCAGATAGCGTTAAATCTCGAGATAGCGTTAACCTCCGACGGACTTATATACGTCTTACGAATAACAATTGTGCGTTTAACATACGGTGACCATGGCATTTGCAATGAGAGGGGTCAGCGGTGTATTTCTGCGTTGGAGCAGCGGCCCCCAGGGTGCCATAAAAGTATCACGGGTGCGTAAACAGCTCTCGTTGTGTTATCAGACGTACGTATAACCTACGCCTGAAAAAGTTATCTTAACTCTCTATTTGTTTCCATAGCGATATTGCAATATAATTAACTGTCTGCAATATACATTTTAAATCAATTTAAAAATTATGCAATTACATCTTTGGCGTATAATTACTTGTTTTAAGAAACTGCTATTTGTTTAATGATTTGTTATTTTAATGTAGTTCGTTGATTTAAAAAAATATTTTTATATACTCTCTCTCTCTCTCTCTCTCTCTCTCTCTCTCTCTCTTTCGTATCTCTGAATGTATATTTTATTTCTCATTTTTGCAACTATTAGTATAGTGCATTCTTTAATTTTTGAAGGTACACATTTTAAAATATTTTTTAGGCAGATCTAATTTAAATTTTATTTAACAGGTATGCACAGTTAATTTCTCCATCAAAGCTGATATCCCAGAAGTGGAGCAGGAGGTTGAAAAGCTGAAAACACCAGTAGGAAATGGTAAAATCTTCAAAAATATAGAGGAAGCTGTGTCTGACGTACATGATGGAGCCAAACTTTTGGTTGGTGGATTTGGTCTCTGTGGCATTCCAGAGAATTTAATAGCAGCTATATTAAAAAAGGGCTCAAAAGATCTAACATTAGTTTCGAATAATGCTGGGGTAGAAGACTTTGGACTGGGTATATTGTTAAAGGATCACAGGGTTAAAAGGATGATTGCATCGTATGTGGGAGAAAATCCTGAATTTGAAAGGCAGTATCTTAATGGTCAATTGGAGGTTGAACTAACACCACAGGTAATGCTTTAAAAATAAGAAAAAGTACGTTATAAATCTCGTAAATTGTTACAAGTCGAATAACGATTATTACTTACTTAGGGCACTTTGGCGGAACGTGTAAGAGCAGGTGGTGCTGGCATTCCAGCTTTCTATACTCCCACAGCTTTTGGTACCATCGTACAAGAGGGCAATGTCATTGTAAAATACGACAAGAACGGCAATGCCGAGATATCGGGTGAGCCGAGGAACGTAAATCAATTTGATGGACGAAATTACGTTTTGGAAACCGCCATCACTGGCGACTTTGCGCTCGTGAAGGCGTGGAAAGCCGACACCGCCGGCAATCTAATTTTTCGGAAATCGGCGAGGAATTTCAATCCTGTGATGTGTAAGGCGGCCAAAGTAGCAATCGTCGAAGTGGAGGAAATTGTGGAACTTGGCCAATTAAATCCTGATCACATTCACTTACCTGGTATTTTTGTAGACAGAATTGTGAAGGGGCCATCTTATGAAAAACGGATTGAGGTTGGCGCTTATTTACTTTAATTAATAATCGTTATGCATATTTAATTATATATAATTTATGTAAATGTTTTATGAATATAATTTTTTTTCTGCAGAAACGTTCGACGAAACAAACCATAAAGCCTAAGAAAGTGACACCGGCTAGTAAAGCAAGGAATATGATTATCAGGCGCGCTGCCCTCGAATTTAAGGATGGAATGTATGGTAAGTTTAAAATATAAACTTGTTAAATACTTGAATTGAAGATATAGATACTCTGAAAGATTTCGAATGAAATAATCAATTTTCTTATCAATTCTGTATTTAAATCGGAAATTTTTGCAGCAAATTTGGGAATCGGTATGCCTATGCTTGCTAGTAACTATATCCCGAAGGGCGTGAAAGTGACATTACAATCAGAAAATGGTATTCTTGGGTTGGGTCCTGTTCCGGATGAAGATGACGTCGACGCGGATCTTATCAATGCTGGAAAGGAAACTGTAACTGTTTTGCCCGGTGCTGCTTTCTTTAGTAGTGATGAAAGCTTTGGAATGATTCGAGGGTTTGTATATAATTATTTATATAGATTAATTATTAGCATGTTCCTTTCACAACAAATATTAGGATATATTCAAAGTAAACAAGTTTAATAATTATATATTTTTACACACACAGAGGTCATATTGATCTGACTATTCTTGGAGGCATGCAAGTGTCGGAGAACGGAGATTTAGCTAACTGGATGATACCGGGTACGATGGTAAAAGGCATGGGTGGTGCCATGGATCTTGTTTCCGCGGCAAGCACGAAGGTAGTGGTAACTATGGAGCATACAGCTCGAGACGGAAGTCCAAAAATTTTGAAGAATTGCACCTTGCCTGTTACAGGTAAAAACCGGTGATACTTCAATTTTTTTTATTTTGCCTACATGTAAAATAAGAAAATAATTTAATGTTGTAATTCCTTACCACGAGTCTCACTCGTGGTTGTAGGCCAAAGGGTTAATATATTTTAAAAGTAATTATTTTTTAATATTTCTGTATTTCTAGTTACTTTATGTAATTACTTTTGTTCTTTACAGGTCAGCAATGTGTAGATTTAATTATCACAGAGCTTGGAGTATTTGAAGTAGTGAAAGGAGAAGGATTAAAGCTTATTGAGATCGCACATAATGTTGATATTAGTCAGGTTATCAGTTCAACAGACTGTGAATTCAGTGTTGCCGACGATCTTAAGGAAATGGGACAAGTTACAGACGAGGATTTATAAGTTGTAATATATTTCACAAATGTGATATGCAATATAATAATTCAATGTTACGATGCCTGAAAGTAAATTTTTAATACATTTTAAATTATAAATATGCAATTTATAACAAATAAAATAGAGCTATTGATTACGCATAATTATGTTTCTGTTGATATATCCATTTTTTTCTGTAGATTCGTATTTTTCGTGTAATATATTGTATTGTGTTTCAATTATCAAGTAAACATTACGACTGATGCTTGATTAATTACTGTACATTAACTGCATTATATTGTACAAAACAGTTAATACATTTTTTAAATGTATATATATTCTTATTTGTTGTAAATTATCAAATTTTTTTCTTGATTATGATATGTCGCGTTTGCAAAGAAATATTATATATACTAATTAGCATTATGATACTAGATAAACAAAATGATTTTGTAACATATCTTATGGAATAAAAGTTTTTAATATTTTTGATATGCGTTTTTTTCTTTGATCGATATTCCTAATTCTAATGTTATTTACAATTTTATATACACTCAGAATTTAAATTAAATAAATGTAATACATACGTGATTTAGTCGGCGCCAAATCCAAATATTCAAACTTTGTTCAACGTTGAATACGACGATCACATTAAATAAGGATAGGAAGTACGTCTAGTATTATAATAATTATCAGTATATTCTATATTATTATTCTTCATTATGAGATAATGATTATGACAAGAGAAATTTAATTCTTTAGCAACTCAAAAAACATAGCGATATGAAAATTTTGATAATCTTATAGAGATTGTCAAGTTGTAAGAACAAATAAAAGTAATGCAACTTGAGATTAATGTCTCAAAACATATAGAAACCTTGAAGCTTGATGTTGCACATTATAAGCAATTTAATTTATGATATTACTACTGTAATTCAATTGGTTTGGGTATTTAGACAGAAAAATTAATTCTATATGTAGTTTAAATGACTACGTAGGTAATATATAAATTCACATAGAATTATATAGAAGCGTACTTAAGATCCAGCTAGACAGTTAAAGATTCTTCTTGCTTTCTTGTTAATATATCTACCTGATTTTGACATGCTTTATCATCACATTTACACAACAAGGTTACACTTGTTATAGTCCTTCTACAATAAGCAGCAAATCAGAAGTTCTAAACGATCTTAAGTCATAATCGGTGAAGTTGGCCAATAGCCAACTTGAACGATTTGGTTAAGACTGGTTAAGACTTCTGACGTTCTGACATTCTTGTGGCTTATTGTAGAAGGCCCATTATTCTTTCTTATGCAATCACACATCCGTGATGAACAATTTCCTTTACAGTCACATTCACAACCAGATTTTTTGGGGCGTCGAGTGGTTCGCCGCTCAGTGCGATTAATTTGTGATCTGTGGATCCGGATTCGATCCCACCTGCGTCCCGCACACGCGATTTTTCACGTTTGTTGTTCGGATTCAGTGTTATGGCCGCAGCACAGACTTTTGCGTAACGCATAACGCATAGTGCATAAGCGAATCAACTAATCAGAAGCTTTCCTTTCCTCTCATTCCATGGAAAAGAAGAATTTCGATTGGTTGATTCCCTTATGCACTATGCATTATGCGTTATGCAAGAGTCTGTGCTGCGGCCATTGAACTGTAGTTTAACGCTCGAGTGTTGACAAACACTAAAAGAGTGCACATGCATTATGCAAAAACATAAAACGAGCCTCTGCTCCCCGAAGAGGGCTAAAAATTGATACACGTGGTACTGTGACCTCTCAAGTGGGATTGGAAAACCAAACCCGGGGAATATATTTTCTAAGAATAAAAAAAAGTAATTAAAGGTTGTAAACTGTTTGTTCACAAAATTCGCATTGGTGAGTTCTGTGGAAAAACATTTAGAAACATTAGTTGCTTTTTTTTTCTTAGTCTCTTAAGTGTATATATTTTTTAAGACATTAATCTCAAGTTGCACTACTTTTACTTATTAGTCTTGCAACTTGGCAATCTCTATAAAACTATCAACATTTTCAGTCATTATCCCTGTTTTTTGAGTTGCTAAAAAATTAAATTTCTCCTGTCATAATAATCATTATCTCATAATGAAGAATAATAATAATATAGAATATACTGATAATTATTATATAATACTAGATGTGCTTTTTTTTCTTAAGGCTCCTGAATAGTCAGCCAGTGTCAGAATCAGACGGCGCGCCGTACTTATGAAAGTTCTAAAAATGGGCAGAAATAACACCTATCTTGGAATTTTATACGTGAAAGCATATTTTACTCGTTTCAACAGCTGTTAAATCGTGTGTTTCTGCCCGAATTTAGGCTCACTTTACGTGCTTTTTACGACCATTTACTGACTATCAAGGGAGAAAAAGACAATTTTTGCTCATTTTTACAAATGTTTTAAAGTGATCTTGTCATTTAGATTTGGCCAAATTGTCTTTATGACGTCACGATTCCAACATGGTCGCCGCAACTATTCAGGAGCGTTCAACAATCCATCATTCTCTGAATTTTGCCTTCACTCTGGCAGGTAGTGGCAACAGATACAAAACGCTATTCAATATAATAAGTCCGACGGCAAACGCTAGAGAGATCAGCAGATTCAGATCTACACTTAATACCTCTTGGATGTTTTCGCCCTCTCTAGTGAAACGTTCTATCAGATAAGTTTTGCCATCAGGGTATCTGCAAAGCTCAGGTACACCCGGACAGGTGAAACTCTCGTTGTAGGGTAAATTAGATAGAAGGGAAGTATCGATCACCAACTGGTTCAACGCAAGAGATGCATATCTTGTTGGTAATGCGGTCGTCACCATCGCCAACCAATAGGGTAAGTTCTTCAAGCTACGAATCGCACCTGACGCAACTACCAAAGATAACAGGGTCATGTACAGTACTGTAATGGCACCGGTTATGGGTCTACCGATCACCATCAATACAGCCACCGTCACTTGCTCGGCTGCCACGTAACTGGACCACAGAATGCCGGAAGCGTACGCCCACGAGGTGAGGTCCAGTTCCAAAATGGGAATCAAAATCCCGATTGTTATCAGCGTCGATATGAAACTCAATGGAAGACTCAGCATGGTGTATGCGGTCAAGAACATCGCGCCGCCGTAGAGACCCTCTCGTTTCTCTTGGTAATATCTTGCTCGAAAACCTGGAACTGTATCAATCTTTATGTAATGAAATGCCAAATGTAAATCAGAAGAAAATGCACTTCAACATATTTTGTGTGTGTGAATAGCGATATGAATAAAATAAATTCGAAAAACATTAAAAATTATTTAAATATTTCTAAGATTGAAGATTAGAGATTCATGATTGGAAAGCTGCTTATTATCTAATTTTTTAAAATTAATTTGCCTTTTGACTTACATAAAAGGGATGTCGCGACTATTCCGGCTACGTAAAACAACGTCAAGACATTGAAGATCAAGCCGCCGGTTTGCAAGAAAATTCTTGATTGTACGGGACTTGAATGTGAATACAGTATACTCATTAGAGCAACGACGAATGGCAGTAATAGCAGTCGAGCAGCAAAGTGTCCCAGGCCGATCTTATTGAACGAAAATGTAGCCGCCATACTTCGTCTAAATATAACAATATGATTAATAAGTTACCCTAAAACGGTCAAACTTTATTTTGTCGACAGACTGTAAAATCAGCTAAAAAATAATTTACTTTCAAAACATATGTGATGCCAATATAATCCATGCCATCGAATGTTAAAAGATTTACAATTAATAATTGTGTAAAATCTTTTCCGAAGAAAAATTGGCTTTGAAAAATTTGTTACACTAGTTAAGCTTTAATTTTGTTCAACTAATGTGATACTGCATTTTCGTAAATCATCATAATTCAGGAAACTCACAAATATAGCGCCAAAAGAGTCGAAAAGCATCCGGGTTTAATTCCACGTCCTAAGCCCTTGTGCATAATACCAAGAGTCGTATCTTTCATACTATGAGGCATTTGCGGTCCTTCTTTCATGTAAAGGACTCCATCCACCTTGAATTTCTCGACCAAGACCGATATCTGCTGATTAGACTCCAAAAAACGATCTCTGGAGCGGCGATCGACAGTCGACAAGCATACTGAAAAAACAACAAATTCTGATATAATGTGGTATGTAAGTACATATATAGTGTATATTAGTAATTTAAGATTTAATTATTTAAAGCAATGGAGATCCAGCTTCGACCATAATAGGCATTTTAAATTTCTAATATTGATTGTGTTTCTCACATATGCGGTATAAAATAAAGATTTTTAATATTGTCTGATATATTAATTTATTCTAATTAATCTTCTTTTTAAATATCTTCATCATTTTTTAAATCAGTTACTTTTTTAAAACGTTCTAAGGACTGTTCGAAAAATAATAAAGATTGCTGAAATAAAATGAATATAATTTTCTAAACGGAATGTTAATTACAAGGAGAAAAAAAAAGGAGAAAGGGGGGAGAGAGAGGAAGAGAGGAGAATAACGTTGTTCCATGCGGTATTACTTACGGTAATACATCAACGGATTTTCCAGTTCCGGACACGGGAAGCCGATGTAGGTAAAATAATCTAACATGCTCCTGGTGGGTCCAGAATAAACCACCGCACCCAGGCACAGCAACGTTACGCGACTAACAAACGGTAGCACGTCAGACCTAGGTGTTTCCATAGTGAGGACGACAATGGAGCCGCGTCTGGTGGCGTAAGACCACAACATCGAGACGATGAGATATGTGTTGAGGGGATCGGTGTCCCAGGTTGGCTCGTCCAACAATAACAGAGTCGGATCTTTGGCAAGTTGCACTCCCAGCATCAGCCGCCGATATTCCGGCCTGGTGAGATCGTTCACCGACCGGTTGGCGACCTGCGAGAGCGCCAGGTCGGCGAGAGTCTGTCGCACTCGGGCCTCGCGATTGTTTAGATTGGCGAGCCACGTGGCGTACATCAAGGTCTGGCGAACCGTCAAACTCGGTAGCAGGTGACACCTGTGAGCCACGTAACCGCCGTGACGCCGGAACAACTCCGGAGTCAGCAGGTTGCCGTTCAGGGTAACTCGTCCCCTCGTCTCGCCCTCCGCTCTTCCAGCTAGTAGAAATTTCAAGTTATTTTAAATTTAATTAATACGCCGAATCTGGGATATCATCCATTTTTTCTTTATGTTCTTTAATTTGTTTTAAATAAAATTTTTAACTACAAATATTTTTATAAGAACTTTCTCATTATGGCGTGACGCCAAAATATGTCAGATATACATGGAAAGAACAATTGCTGAATTATCTAAAAATTTATATACAGATTTGAAAATAATTTTGCTGGATCATAAAAATGATTTTGTAGGAAATTGAAAAAGTTTTAATATTCTAGCAACGAGTCTGCATAATTATTTTGCTAATCCAACAAAATTATTTTCAGACCTGTAGCTGAATGTTTTGTAGTTAAATTTTTAGATACTTTAACAAAACTGTTCTTTTCGTGTATAATAGAAAAGACTAGCCATGGTAAATTAAATTAAATGACAAAGATCTGATTAAAAACGATTTACGCGCTACATTGTTTGCAATTTCGCGAAACACTACAATACAATGCTGGAAAGAATGATTAGAAATATTCACCGATGACATCGAGAAGCGCTCGTTTGCCGGAACCCTTTGATCCTAGAATAGCCAGAACTTCTCCACCGTGGACGCGAGCTGATACATCTCTAAGCACTGCGGTAGGTTCGGATTTATTGAGACAGGTTCCTTCGATCACTACCGAGGTGGAGTGAAACACGTTGGATATGTCCAAAACGCAATCAGATGGAAGCATCTTGAGAATCGGTATTACTTTCGGTGCCCACAGTTACATTCCTCAAGTAACATCTGCGGAGCTCTACAGAGACGTGAAGATTCTAAAATTATTTCTTTCAAAATATAATACATATTTTTCATTGCAATTTACGTAACTTCGCATATTATCCCAAAATAACAATTATTTATTTCTATACAGCACATACACATCCGAGAGACGTCCTAAGGACGTTCTAAAGACGTCGCCTTACGTCCTAATGACGTTCTCAAGATGTCAGATGAAACCTGCTGCATGAGTTATTTTTTAAATTAATCATAATAATCAGTATCGCAATATTAATATTATCAAAGAAACGTACGAGTATTTCACAAGATATTAAAAGTGATAAATAACATTGAAAGGAACACGAAGATACCGGGGCGCAGGACTGTCACCGGATTCATCCATCCGTCCCGCACTTGACCGTGTCCGTGACTTGGAGAACACTGTGCACCTTATTAACAAAGGAACCCACCCGCACTCTCGTTTCTTACGATCTTCCGCAACTCCGCAAAATGGTAGTCCGGACGGTAGTGAATAATGCACCAACGTGAGAGCGTGCTACCGCCGTGCGGATTGCAGGGCGCACTGACCAGCGCGTAAAAGTGACTCGCTCGAGCGAGGCTGGGACACGAGAAACGCGTAGCTGCAGGTAACGATACCTGGCTGGCTATCCGGCTGGGAGTTGGCTCTCCTCGAGGTGAATGTCTTCTCCGACGCGGGCCCGCGATCTGGAGGGGGACCGACCCCGAGCCCGAGCAGGACCATCGGCGTAAGCAACGCGTGTTGTGCGCGTTTCAACGTCATGTAAACTAGTCGAGATGCTGCTTAGATACCGATCGCGATCTACCAAGTATTTATTACAAAAATATGTTGCATTTTTGTCTGCGTAGTCAAACGTTAGTCTGTATCGAACTTTTACCTGTAACCAGCCCATAGTTGATACTCTTCTACAACGTTTTTGGATATTTCGTTCGAAACCCCTTTGTTTTATACAGAAAAAAGGAAATATTAATTAGTAACGTTTCAGCAGCTATACATTACAAATTGTAATGTATTCTAACAGTATGTACACTGAAAAAAATAAATTTTAATTAAATATTTGTTTGAATAATTTTAAGTAAATAGTTATTAAATGTAAACATATATTTATTTGATAGAAAAATTATTAATTTGATTTAACTATCATTTTTTTATTGAGTAAACATTTATTTACTGTAAGTAAATGTTTACCAGAGTTGGGCATTATTCGAATAATTTTTTATTTAGAATATTATTCAAATAGAATTTTATTTATTATTTACATTATTTATTATTTATATTATTCGCCATTGTATTATTAATGTTTATTCGTTATTCGTATTATTCTTCATTCGTATTATTCGTTATTTGCATTATTCGTTATTGGTATTATTTGTTATTCGTATTGTTCTATTTTGTATTATATTGTTTCTAGAACACGAGCCTTTCACGAGATCACTGTACGAAAATAAAGATCCGCATTCCAAATAATATCCACTCATTGTTAGTTACTAATTGTACGCTATAAGTTTCACCACGTTTCATACCTTCGTTATCACTTTGGACTACGTTTAGTGTAAAATAAAGTTTAATAAAAAAAGTTGTTCTACATTAAACTTTACAATACACACATATTAAATGTATCTATTAATATATGTTGAATTATATATTATTCATTCGAATATACATTGTATATATTCGAATAAATTTTATTCGTATATATCTTTAATTCGAATACATTATTCCCACATACACGAATATAAATATTATTCGAATATAATTTTATTTTAGATATACAAAATAAATTTATATTCGAATAAAAAATTATTTTTTATTTATGAATAAGACTTTATTCTTTATTCGTAAATGTGCCCAACTCTGATGTTTACTTAGTAATATTCCAAGCAATATATATTAAAATTTAGTAAATTTGAAAACATGCTTTAGTTTGATGTAGGAGGCAAGATGTAAAAAATAAATTTTATTATCTTTATTATTTATATTAGAAATAGACAAAGTTAAAATGTCACCCGTTATTTTATCTTATAACTGTTTCGTCATGACAAAGAAAAAAATCAAAATTTTAACTAATTATATACCGTTGCTCTAACAATAAGATGTATGCAAATCCTTGAACAGGATAGAGATGGTATTATAAAGATGGTATTAATAAGATGAATAAAGATGAATGAATAGAGAATTTTCTGACGAATTTCTCGATCAACTCAATAAATACTACAGAAAGAAAAGGTCCGATAAAAATAATTATTTCTCTTACGTTAACTCGTGTTAACTTTTACATGAATTTACTTTGTTTCACTTTTATTTTGTTCCATTTTATTTGAGTTCTACCTTCAAGTTACGTTTCCATTCCTCTCTATAAAAATTCCCTTAACTTGAGTACATTCCGTCGCACAAAACGTAAAACAAAGCATAAATGCGCAAGAACGAGAAACGAAAGTGCAAAAAAGCGCAGAGGATCCATGCCAGATAGACGCAAGCTATCGTGATGCGGACCCGGCGCGTTCACGCCATTGCGAACTTGTCGGAGGGGTACCGGTGAGGCCCCGGAGAGGGAAACTCGTGGGGGCCTCGGTGGGCTCCTCCGTCAGCGGTGGCGGCCAGCGTTCGGACAGGACTCCGGCGAGTCGCGCGATACTTGGCGCTTCGCTTCGATCGCGAGCCAAGGAAGATATCTCGGATAAGAAACGACGACGACGACGACGGGATCGGTGGCGTCGCGGTAACGACGCGTCACCTAAGAGAAAAGGATTTTTTTTTCATCCCCCGAGAGTGACGACTCTTCCACACGCAAGGGAAGTACATCCCTTTTCTCTGTCACGCGAAGTGCGGGAAGTCCGATCGGCCGGCGATCGGCGGAGGAGGACGACGAACCGGAATGGAGAGAAGGCAGCAGCGTCGTTGTCGTGATTCTACCAGCTTCCAAGGTTGAAGGCCCAGCGCGAATACACAGCCGGTGAGTCATTGTCACGAAGATCAGAGCGCGGCAGCGCCTTCACTCTTTTTCTTCCTTTTTTCTTCTCTTCTTGTCCTCGCTGCGGGCGCCGACTCGCTCTCACGCGTATTCCGCGATTTTTTCAACGTCCTCGCAAAGGCTCGTCCATCTACGATGCTGATTAAACTCTGTATGCACGGAATGGAAATAAATTTGTTTCTTCTACTTTCGTCGAAGCTGAATTTTGGGGTTGGAATCAACTTTTCACAAGACAAATTCTTTTATTACGTCGAAAAATATCAGAGGTAACATTTTGTTTCTTTTTCTTCATAAATACTTTTTAAAATTATAGATTAGGAAGAAAATATTAATTATTTTCGACTATTTTTTCAAAGTAACGCAATCTGATGAATTAGTTAACTTAAACACTTTTTATGTTTTCTGTTGGATTACTTTTTCTTTGATATTTATCTATAAACTGGCGAGAAGTTTGTTGAGTAATTTTTTATGCTATATAAAAATATGTTTAATTAATAAGGTAAACAAATTCTTCATTTTACATTTGAAGAAAATAAGAAAAATATCTTTATTCGATATTCAAAGATCTATCAAATCCGCATACATTTCGGAGTAATGGTATAATTAGTCAAAGATGGAAAAATTGTTTACACGTGATGAGAGTATCGTCTAATTATACAGCATGCTGGAAATTGTCACGGTGCTTTCCGAAATGAAAACGCATTTAGAAAATTCTTCGGCTCTATAGAGCGGACCGACAACCTTCGAAAAAATGGTAACGACAGGGTTGTTAATCACTTGTTGCTTTCACCGTACCGGCGAGTCTTTCTTGTTATGCAAAATCAGGTTCCCTGCCGTTGAACCGTGAATTAAAAACTCACATATAGCGTTAAAATGTTCCATATGCATTTTCTTTTCGTGGAAAACATGTGACCCACTGACAAACGATCCATGAAAATGCGATTGTATAAACCTGAAATAACCGTGGATATATTTCCTCGCTTTTTACATTAAAAGAATTATTAATGGAATTATCATCTATTTATTTTGATGAAGAATCGCGTGCGCGATATAACGAAAGTGTAAACTAACAAAAAAAGAATAAATTTAAATTAATAACTGAATTATTAATATAATTATTAATTATTTATGCGTACCAATAATAATTCTAACAGAACAATTTAACTTTATTACTAAAGGTAGCAGTTTTTCCATATTTTCATGCCAAATGAATAATTCTCTTTTGTGAAATAAAATACTTTGTGTTACAAAATGACGCAGTACATTGCGTTGTATTTCGTCATATTTTAACTGCGGTAGCATAGTTTTCTATCATGTGTGCGCGCAAAACCACTGCTTCCACTCGTATTACATACGAGGATAATTTTACTTTCCTCAATGGACGGATTATTGCTCGATTAGATTACAAACATTGAAAGCGTTCGATTTATGTCGAGCAGTGAGACATTACTCAAGAGTTCTCTTTCTCGGATTTCGCTGGAAAAAGTAATAATAATGGACCGTATTTTTGTTCAAGTATACTCTATTTGAGCAATTGAAAGAAATATACCGGAACCACCGGATATCCTTTTGGCCCAGATTCTGGTAAACTTGAAACCTCTTTTGATTTTTAAATACAAATTTTCTTATGTGCTATCATTCTCCCTTCAAATATTCGTTTAACTTTTAAATTAATTAAATACAAATAACGGAATAGTTACTCACTGCATTAAATTTCCGTTATGCCAGTACAATCTAATTTCAATACAAAGTGCAAAGTCTCCGGTGTCTGTCTACGCCTTCTCCATCTTCTCCTCTCCTTCTCTCTTCTTCTTTCACTAAAGATACGAGTATCTTTATTTAGATTTCTCAAGACGCGCGCGCGTGTTTCCTTTCATTTCCTTTAATAAAAAGCAAAAGCGTTTTGCGTCGTTACTTCCTTCGCGCGTTTTCACATTAACGTGTCCGAGGTCCTAGCGATCGCGAGGCGGAAAGGTGAGAGGGTTCAATCCTCGTCAATCCGTTCACTTCGATCGGACACGGCGAATATATATGCCGGATACATAATCGTATCGCGAGTGTTGCCGAGATTTTCATTAACGGCGCGCGCCACTATAAGGCCGTACCTATCTCGGCGAAATCGTGGAGTCACGCCGGGAGATTTTAACGAGCGCATAGGAGCGCTCTTCGACGCTTCCTCGCACGGTGATTCAACTGATTTGCAATTTCAATTGGATCTTTCTACCTTTTCGTCTTCCTCCATCCGCGGGGAATGGGAGAGGGGAAGTGAGAGGAGAAGTGTAGCGATTGCTTCGATGGAATATTGAAAAGTCTAACAGCTGACCTCGCGCACGCGCTTATATATCCTGCATTCTTCGATGAAGCTTTATGGCCCGATATAACGCTCATCATCGCTTATAATGAAGTAGTAAAAGTACTATTGGCATTCAGCCGCTGTCTAATTTTCTTATGATTGAACGTTGCGTATTATTTGTAGAATATGGCAACGAAAATACTTTCCACCTACATTCTGTTTGATCAATGTAATACGCAAATAGTTAATATAGTAACTGTACACTGAAAAAAAAAAGATTGTTTGCCGCAGCAAATTAAATGGCATGGAATTTTTGAATTGGCTGTAGCAGTCAATTTTTGTTGTGTTAACCTATCCGCAGTGTCATGTACAGGATTTCGATTGGCTAACGCAACCAAAAATTAGCTGCAGCAGCCAATTTTAAAATGCTATGCCACATTTATCACCTAATTTGCAGTAGCCAATCTTTTCTTTCAGTGTACCAGTGATATTGTGAAATATTTTTATTTATAAATATAAATTGCATTTCTCCAAATTACTTTTTTTTCTTCTTAAAATGAAAACCTTTTTAATTAATTTTTGAAATTACATTAAATGATCCTTCCTTTAAGAAGAACGTTTGTGCCACTTCTCTTATTAAGAAACGTTAGGAGCAGATATAAGAGGTGAAATATATAATACGGACACGATCTTTTCTTCGTAAAGCTATAATCTCGGGAATGCTGACGTTTAATTAATCGAGATAATTAGTCATGAGTGCACACTTCGGATCGTTTGAGATACCCGCGTTATGTGGGTCGACGGTTTTCGGTAGACTTTCCATCGCGGTTTCCAACCGCATTGCGTGTACTGGTAATTATGGCTGTAACAATCCAGGCCATAGTGTACTTTATTTAGGTACACACGGACACGCGTGCACGGTTCACTGGCGTACAAACATGGCTATAGAAATCAGTGCGTGGGATAGTCTCACAGTAGATTCTGGAGATCATGAAATCGAGATATTATTTCCGTTCGCTTGAGAGCTGAGGGACTCCTAAATAAGTGGAGACGTTCCGTGGTTGTAGCTTCCAATTTTCACTTATCCGATGTAAATCGCCGCAAGTATGATTCATTTGCACGCAATAAAAAACTAAAATCAATTTAGCTACGCAGCTTGAAAGATCTCGATTTGTTTTCCAGCTCATCGAACGCTTTTCATCTGAGACAAGATATTCGATAGACAGTGGTGATCGAGCAGGAATTGTGAACATCTAAAATACTTGATTGTGTGAAGAGAGCATCGCATGTATCTGCATTGCCGAGCAAACGTTCTCGTTTTCAACCACTTACCCCTTGAATTGCATTAAACACCGTGACCGCGGATCCAGGATTGCGATATAAATTTGTCGTAAGAGCGATCACGCGACCGGCGATTTTTCCAGGTATCGCGCGCGAGGATAGGCTACAGGTATATATACCGTCCGCGAGATATTAGACATCACTTTCCGCCTGCTTTCGACATGCTCAGCTGCGCGCAATAGGCACATGCAGCAGGTCCGTTTTTTCCGAGCGTATCATCTCGCCGGCCTTTACGAATATATCGTTCCGCGGCCATATCCGCACTTTCCTTCTCATACTATGTATTAGCCGATTCAGTTGCATGCGCGTACAAAAGCCGGCAAAAAGCCGCAACGAACATGACTGGAATGGCGTTTAATGGTAAATTCATATCGCGAAAACGCACGGTCGTCGCTCGATACAACTGTTGCAGAAACGGGATATGCAAATGAACAGTTAACTGGGCCTTGCGAGAGGCGGTTATCAGTCGTCGTAAAAATGACCGTATTACGCAAATTGAAAAGGACGTAGGGTACCACCGTGACCGCGGCAATAGTTTTGTCACCCTGATATATGAACGCAATTATTCGAATATTGGGTAACACACTTGAAGTGTTTACCACTGAAGAGATCCAATTGCCTGGAAAAGATTAATTTATACTTTTGAGAATTTTTCGAATAAAAACTGTAAAGTGGATATCGCAAATTATGGACATTTTTTTTTTAGAGAGATGCTGGATATATTAATTACAAAATAAATTTTTACCTCGACTTATTGTTTCCAAGATGTTCTCTATGAAAGGTGTTGGCCAAGTCCGCGATGTTTCGCATCCGTAATCACGCGTGGGTTAAATCATTCCACGCACGATCGTGAGACCAAGCAAGGACTACTCGACGTGCAGCGGGAACTATGTCCATTGTCATTGCAGACGTCGACGCAATCGTGCTTGTAAACCTGTAGGCTCTTTCTCCTTCATATGCGGGTACATTAAATACTGTTCATGCGGGAACATCTCATCGGTCGACCGTTGTAGCTGTGACACCGAGACCCAGGTGAACTTACACCCGTGACTTGAGAGGTTGTGCCACATCCAGAAATAAATCTTCCATCGGCTCCAACTCGTAAATTCTTCGTTTGAATTATCATTTTCTTATCACGATTATCACTTTATTTCCTTTACGTACTCTAATTGTATCACACTCTCACTATATGAAATATTTAATTTTCTGTATATCGAGCAATTAAAAAAATGTTCCATTTTGAATTTTTAAGTTTCATTTTATATTTTAATGAATATAAATACTTTGAATATATTTAGCGATAAACGTCGATTTAGACGAGTCTTTGAAAATTAAAAATACAAAAATGATCGGCCGTTCGTCGAGGAAAAGAATGTTGCTTATTGGATCTCGGTACAGTACTGTACCGTTATTTCTTGTCAGTTAAAAATGTCAGCTGTTTGCAAACGTACAGCGTAAGGAGTTTCATAGCGACGATCCGTTGATCCGTTGATCCGCTGATGACTTCACCGATGAACACGTGTTACATCCTAGTTCTCATTCTGACGGCATCGCGGAAGATATAACAGCTATTTTTGTGCGAATTAATCCAACGTACATACGGCATCGTATGACACAACATTCTGATTCTTGATCATCCAACACTTACCTAGCAGTAAAACTACGCGCGCTTCAACTCCGCTTTTGAGTGAACAGAAAGTTCTGCTACTTATTCGCGTTTTTCATAAAGGGAAATTAGTGAAAACTCTGTCTTAAAATTCATCACTAAAATTAACATTAGCAAGCATTCTTTCTATCTTTCATAAAATAATTGTGAGTGTGTTATTTCCGTTCTCTGCGAAGATCATAACTTCCGTCAAACGACGTGCTGGCATTTTGCGCTCTGCGCGAGCATTCTTTTTTTTTCGATAAGATATGGTGTGCGATTTCAATCTTGCCAGTTCTCACGCGGCATGAACATTCTTGTACCTGAGCCAGCTCAATTTCAAGGGACTCGCTGAGTCACTTCTAACGGGAGATTCCGGGACGAGGGAAAAAAAATGTCGTTCCGTCAGCATTTGTAGTAACTAAGAAATGTGCATCGTGTATCATCCGAGGTGTGATTCTAAGCCGGTCGTGCTAAAACGGATTATGTAATTCTACGCATTCCATTCGAACGACGTAAACGTAACATCTGCGATGATGTGATATTAAATCTTCGTAAGTGCCAACAAATCGCACCTGTTACAAGATTATTGCACATGAGAATATTCTACAAGCAGGATATAGTGTACTCGATTGTGGACGGTGGATGTTTAATGTCTTCCTCTCTCTCTCTCTCTCTTTAAAGAACTCGGCAAAATTTGTGTAAGGCCCTGCTCTACCAATGATAACTTTAATCTCGGTTTAACTTATTGTTTAACTTACTTTATCTTTTCTCCATTCTTTGAAAATTTAGATGTTACACGGAGAAAATTTTTTCTTAGAGTTTATCCCGAAAATATGATGGTCCTGGGACAACATTGTATTTCGATGAATTTTATGTAAATTTCTCTCATTCATTAATAAGATTACAATAAAATATATAATAAGTTTGATTAATTTTACTGAAGTGAATGATAAAAATCTTTAAAATATTGTATTGCACAACTACCATATTTTCAGGATAAATTGTAAGAGACAATTCTGTCCGTGTAGTTTTTATAGCTGTAGTTGAGGGTTAAATCTAATTTTATGCAAAAAGATTGTCATCATTAAGTACTGATTCGTGGACAATTTATATGTCAACAATTTTGTAGAATTACAATGCGACAGTCCAACAGATGTACTTGATGTGTATTCGCTGAACACCCGATACGTTTTCACACTCGCGTGGAACTCGGAAATGTGAACGCATACCGCAAACTGACACGTGAAGACAAATTAAAACCTGTTGTTGCACCAAAGCAATGAAGCAGATGGTTTATGCGTTTCTTGCCGTGCGTTTCGCAAGCAGTTTGAAATAATTGACCTGCGACGTTGTTCGATTTACATTACCATCGAGAGCAAGGTCGAGCCTCTCTCACAGGCAGGAAGAGATGCCTCTGATTAATTTAATCGTCCTTTGACAGTCCAGAACATATCGCGTATGTAAGGTATCTTCGAGTACACGTTTCCCCTGAAATTTATTAGGGCGATGCTCAGAATACGATGGGACTTGCTCTTCGATGAAAGAATAATAGAGGTCGTTAGTATTCATGGCATCTAAGATTAACGACATTGCTTTTTTTACTTGGGAAGTAGTCTTACATTCTCGTTATACTGTAGGTCATAAAAGTACTTTCTATCGCGTAGCTTTTCCACAATTTTAAAACGTGCACTCGCAAGTATGTAAAT